GAATTGGGGAACGCCATTCGAATCACTTTTGACGATTTTGAGGCCGCGATCCAGCATGCGATTTCGGTGGAAGATCGAGAGCAAGACATTCAGGCATCGCGACAGGGCTCTTCCCTTCACCAAATTTCTTACCAACGACCCAAGACCCCTCCAGTGTATGGTGGACAAGGTAACTCTGACATTGGTGCTGCTACTTCGTGCTACAATTGTGGACAAAAAGGCCACTTTCGTAGTGAGTGCCGCGCGTTGTCTAAGGAAACCGCCAAACAAGTGCCTAGAAAGTTCGTCTATATCGCGCCCGAAAAAGATGGTCGCGCTCCGCGATTATCCCAAGGGAATGCGAGAGGTCGCTCCTCTATGCGCGGAAATACGCGTGGTCGTGGTCGTGGTTGCGGCAGGAAAGTTGTGAATTTTGTGGAAGAAGTACCCGCGGAAGAAGAATACGAAGGAGACGAGAATTACGACGAGCTTGAGGACGAACTCCTGCCCGAAGGATATCTCGACGAAACGTACTCGGTACATTCGTGCTGCTACTTCGTGCTACAATTGTGGGCAAAAAGGCCACTTTCGTAGTGAGTGCCGCGCGTTGTCTAAGGAAACCGCCAAACAAGCGCCTAGAAAGTTTGTCTATATCGCGCCCGAAAAGGATGGTCGCGCTCCGCGATTATCCCAAGGGAATGTGAGAGGTCGCTCCTCTATGCGCGGAAATACGCGTGGTCGTGGTCGCGGTCGCGGCAGGAAAGTTGTGAATTTTGTGGAAGAAGTAACCGCGGAAGAAGAATACGAAGGAGACGAGAATTACGACGAGCTCGAGGATGAACTCCTGCCCGAAGGATATCTCGACGAAACGTACTCGGGAAACGAGTACTAACCGGCACTTCGACTCCTTCCTCGGTGAAGCTGCCGGTCGTTATTATCGCCACCAACGTCACGCTTTTTCCAGCTAAGTTCCTTATTGATTCTGGATCCGAAATTTCTCTCCTCTCTCCATCTGTACTAAAACCTGAAGTAACCCCCATGTCTTCTGCTATTACTATCGCTACGTTAGAAGGAAGACAAATGCCTGTAGTAGGTACTTTGAATGTAAAACTGTATAGTAATTCTATCTATTTGGCGACTGTTCGTTTTGTTTTGTTTGACATTCGTGGACAGGAATTTGAAGGCATTATTGGATCTGACTTACTAAAACAACTTAAGGCCACTATTTTCTTCCCTGAAAGGTGTCTGCAACTAAAAACTGAGAGGTTAAGGTTTTTTACAGAGACATCTCATAGAAGAAAAATAAAAAGCTCTTTAACTAACACTCCATCAGTGCCCGAACCCCCCTTCAGGCTTTATCTCACTTCGGCAACAGTCATCCCGAAACGATCCCAGAAATTAGTGTTTGTGAAACCCTCAGAAAAATCTGAGAAGAGGATACAAGATCGAACGATATATATCCCCAATAGTATCCATAGCAACATTGTAATTGCCAGGAGTATATCACGAAAACACTGTGGCGCATACCCCATTTTGTGTCTAAACATCGGGGACGAAGACGTTAATTTAACGCCAAAAACCACCCTCGCCACAGCCAGTGTTAATGATTTTGAAATACCAAAATACGAACCTAAGTTACTAGCTCATACAAGAGCCACGCCGATGACTGATGCAAAGAGAAAAACCCTGGAAAGAATTCACGGCAAGTTGGAAGAAAAAGATCTTTCTCAGCTAATAGACGAAAACATCAAGCTTTCGGAATGCCCTGATAAATTAATTCCAGCTTTGCGGTCCTTACTCAAAAAATTCAACAATGTATTGGCCAAGAAGTCGGACCACCTAGGGCTTTGTCCATTCTACGAAGCGGATATCCCTCTTGATACTGACCAACCCGTATTTACCCGCCAATACCCCCTACCTCATGCTATGAGACCCGAGGTAAGTAATTACACTGACGACCTCCTGAGTCATGAGATTATCCAACCATCGAAGTCACCTTACAACAGCCCTACGCTAATGGTGCGAAAGAAAGATGGAGGTTGGCGTATGGTCGTCGACTTTCGACGACTCAACGATCATGTAATTACTGACGCTCATCCGTTGCCTCGTATTAATCAAATATTTGAGGAGTTGGGAAGTTCCAAGTATTTTACTGCTTTGGATTTGTTGCATGGCTTCTACAATGTAAAGATTCGTGAGGAAGATCGATGGAAGACAGCATTCTCGACCCCTATGGGCCATTACGAATTTATTCGGCTGCCCATGGGACTAAAAAATAGTCCATCGATTTTTCAACGATTAATGCATTTAGTGTTAGACGGCTGTCTTGGAACATATGCGTATATTTATGTAGATGATATAGTTATTTATTCCAAGACTGCCGAACAGCATTTGGTTCACTTATCAGATATACTAACTCGACTAGATGGTGCGGGATTGAAAGTTAAATTTTCGAAATGCCAACTTTTCAGAACCCAGATAGAATATTTAGGATTTCTTATCAGCGAAGAAGGTATCCGAGTCAACCCCGCAAAAATAGCAGCTATACAGGATTTCCCTGTACCCAAGGATGTCAAGGGTGTACAGGCTTTCTTAGGATTAGTTGGTTATTTTCGGTCTTACATCCAGAGTTTCGCAGTAAAGGCTAAACCCCTGTACCTTCTGTTAAAAAAGGATACTCCTTTTATCTGGACGAAGGAACAACAAGAGGCTGTAGAATGTCTAAAGAAATGTCTCCTATCTGCCCCCATTCTTTCTTTTCCAGATTTTAATTTAGAATTTATTCTTACTACTGATGCCTCTGCAATAGCGGTGGGTGCAATCTTGACTCAAAAACCTGGAAAGAAGGAAGTTTTGATAGGATGTGCAAGTAGAACCTTGAATGACGCCGAATCCAGGTACCCGAATACGGATCGAGAACTGCTGGCTGTTTACTACGGCGTGTCACAGTTCAGATCATATTTATGGGGTCATCCATTCACTATTCGAACGGACCACATTGCTATTCCCTATCTCAGTAGACAACGTCAGAGTGACAGTCGTAGGGCAATAGCCTGGTTCATGGCCTTGAACGAATACCAATACAAGGTGGAATATAGGAAGGGCCTTGCAATACCCCACGCTGATGCCCTCAGTCGTTTCCCCCCGGAGCCAAGAAAGAACAAGTTATGTGCATATCTGTCTCCGTCATTACTGGAAACCAACCTGATTCCATACGTATCTCGCGGTCTCCTTCAACGGGCAACCGCAGCAGTGAAAAACAAACTACCCTTTGGAACCGAATTCTCAATCATAGATGGTCTAGTAATGAAAGCCACTGACAAAGGCCGACGAATTTGGGTACCACCGTCCATGAGAATGAAACTAATCGCAAGTTTCCATGATCCTCCAGCCATGGGTCATTGTGGGATCGACAAAACCTCTTTTGCGATAAAAGAAGAATTCACCTGGCCAAACCTAGAAAAGGACGTCACCTCGTACATCAAATCATGTATCGAATGTCAAAAGGCGAAAAATTACGCCCATAAGACTCCTTTTCTCTCAACGGGTATCCCAAAAAATTGCTTTGAGGATGTCAGCATAGACGTAGTGGGCCCAGTACCCAATAGTCAACGTGGAAATCGATATGTACTGGTAATGCAAGATAGGCTATCTAGATGGATCGTCTTTTCCCCTATGCGCGATGCTTCAGCGCAAACCACCGCGCGAATATTCCTTACGGATTGGGTATGTATGTTTGGATCTCCAAAAAGGATCTGGATCCGAAATTTCTCTCCTCTCTCCATCTGTATTAAAACCTGAAATAACTCCTATGTCCTCTGCTATCACTATCGCTACGTTAGAAGGAAGACAAATGCCTGTAGCAGGTACTTTGAATGTGAAATTGTATAGTAACTCTATCTATTTGGCAACTGTTCGTTTCGTTTTATTTGACATTCGTGGACAGGAATTTGAAGGCATTATTGGATCTGACTTACTAAAACAACTTAAAGCCACTATTTTCTTCCCTGAAAGGTGTCTGCAACTAAAAACTGAGAGGTTAAGGTTTTTTACTGAGACATCTCATAGAAGAAAAATAAGCAGCTCTTTGACTAACACCCCGTCAGTGCCCGAACCCCCTTTCAGGCTTTATCTTACTTCGGCAACAGTCATCCCGAAACGATCCCAGAAACTAGTGTTTGTGAAACCCTCGGAAAAATCTGAAAAGAGGATACAAGATCGAACGATATATATCCCTAATAGTATCCATAGCAACATTGTGATTGCTAGAAGTATATCACGGAAACACTGTGGCGCATACCCTATTTTGTGTCTAAACATCGGGGACGAAGACGTTAATTTAACGCCAAAAACCACCCTCGCCACCGCCAGTGTTAATGACTTTGAGATACAAAAGCACGAACCTAAATTACTGGCCCATACAAAAGCCACGCCGATGACTGATGCGAAGAGAAAGACCCTGGAAAGAATTCACGGCAAGTTGGAGGAAAAAGATCTTTCCCAACTAATAGACGAAAATATCAAGCTTTCGGAATGCCCCGACAAATTAATCCCAGCTTTGCGGTCCTTACTCAAAAAATTCAACAATGTATTGGCCAAGAAGTCGGACCACCTAGGGCTTTGTCCATTCTACGAAGCGGATATCCCTCTTGATACTGACCAACCCGTATTTACTCGCCAATACCCCCTACCTCATGCTATGAGACCCGAGGTAAGTAATTACACTGACGACCTCCTGATTCTTTCCCAACTAATAGACGAAAATATCAAGCTTTCGGAATGCCCTGACAAATTAATTCCAGCTTTGCGGTCCTTACTCAAAAAATTTAACAACGTATTGGCAAAGAAGTCGGACCATTTAGGGCTTTGTCCATTTTACGAAGCGGATATACCTCTTGATACTGACCAACCCGTATTTACTCGCCAATACCCTTTACCTCATGCTATGAGACCCGAGGTAAGTAATTACACTGATGACCTCTTGAGTCATGAGATTATCCAACCATCGAAGTCACCTTACAACAGCCCTACGCTGATGGTGCAAAAGAAAGATGGAGGTTGGCGTATGGTCGTTGATTTTCGGCGACTCAATGATCATGTAATTACTGACGCGCATCCCCTGCCTCGTATTAATCAAATATTTGAGGAGTTGGGAAGTTCTAAGTATTTTACTGCGTTGGATTTATTGCATGGCTTCTACAATGTAAAGATTTGTGAGGAAGATCGATGGAAAACAGCATTCTCGACCCCTATTGGCTTCTACAATGTAAAGATTCGTGAGGAAGATCGATGGAAGACAGCATTCTCGACTCCTATGGGCCATTACGAATTTATTCGGCTGCCCATGGGACTAAAAAATAGTCCATCGATTTTTCAACGACTAATGCACTTAGTGTTAGACGGCTGTCTTGGAACATATGCGTATATTTATGTAGATGATATAGTTATTTATTCCAAGACTGCTGAACAGCATTTGACTCATTTATCAGACATACTAACTCGACTAGATGGTGCGGGATTGAAAGTTAAATTTTCCAAATGCCAACTTTTCAGAACCCAGATAGAATATTTAGGGTTCCTCATCAGCGAAGAAGGTATCCGAGTCAACCCTGCAAAAATAGAAGCTATACAAAATTTCCCCGTACCCAAAGATGTCAAAGGTGTACAGGCTTTCCTAGGATTAGTTGGTTATTTCCGGTCTTACATTCAAAACTTCGCAGTAAAGGCCAAACCCCTGTACCTCCTGCTTAAAAAAGATACTCCTTTCATCTGGACGAAGGAACAACAAGAGGCGGTAGAATGTTTAAAGAAATGTCTCCTATCTGCACCCATTCTTTCCTTCCCAGACTTCAATTTAGAATTTATTCTTACTACTGATGCCTCTGCAATAGC